CTGCCTTCAAAGCAGGTGTGTGGCTTGCAGCTCCTGTGTGCAGACTGCGCTTTACTTGACATCCCCACTTGCAAAGGGAAGGAATCAATCATCATTCACTCTTTCTTAAGTTTTTCATCTTTTGAGCTCTCACCAGTTGCGGCTTCATAATGTCAGTCTCAAGCTTTGGAAGATGTCCAGGGGCAAATTCAAAAGTGCACAGCATCTAGTTTGATCCTAAATCCACAAAACCAGCTGTCTTCCCATCTTAGAATCAAGTCCTATACAAATAGTGAATTGGGGATGCCACCTGCCTTTTCCTTCACTTCAGCCATTTTCAAAAAGTGAATCCTACATGTAAACTAAAGTTTATACACACAGGACTTTGTCCAAAGTATTCCCCTCAGAAAGCTGTTTATCTTGAATAAAATGCTACTCCCATTCTGTCCATTTCCTTTTCAGTATTGACTTAAGAAGCTGTTAACCAGCTACCCAGGATCTCAGTTATTTCACTTTCATAGAAACTATTCTGTTGTCCTAAGTGTTGCCTCTCCTTCCATCACAGCTGAGCTCTGTCCCCTCCCTCCCTCCTCTGCCTTCTGGAAGAGGAGAGGAGCGAGGCGGGGGTGTGTTTGGGGAAGCCGTGGGAGCCGATGAAGGCCTGCGGGAACCTCAGATGCTGTCCAGAAGCCGGCCGAGGCTGCCAGACTAAGATGATAACTTGAGGGAGCACTGGCTTCAGAATCAGTGTCCTGTAATCATCCTACTTTACAAATTGCTACCATGGATCTCAAGCAAATCACTTTACTTTTGTTTTCTTGCCTGGAAAGTGGAGATGACGGTAACCTCGTAGGTTCATTATGAGGATTAACTAAGATAATGTCATCACATAACAAAGTCTAGAAGGATGTATGCTCCTTTGTCAGCAGCAGTTATCCCTAGGTGGTGGTGTTACACATCGTTTCACGCTCCCTCTTTTCCCCATCGTTATTCCGCAGTGCACTGGTAAATGTTAACAAACAGCTCTCTAAAAGAAAAGACCTTCTTTGTATTGTTTGCCCATTTTCATGGTGTAAATACTCCCAGATGGCTGATTCGAGCTACCACCATGATTATCACTGAACGAGTTGGAAAAAGATATGCACAGTTGGCTCTCCCAAGCTGTTACAAGCCCACCTCAACAAACCACTGTTTTTATGTTTCACTGTGCACTGAATGTTTTATTTGGGTGGTAAATTCAGAGAGAAAGAGAGAATTAATTAATAGACTATCTAGCATTGTGCTCTGCATACTAGTTTTCAGTTCTTCCTGTCGTTTCTTCTCATCTCCAACGCAAACAGCACACTGACCGGGACCACCCAGCCACCTGAAGCGGTGGTCTTCCGAGTGGCCAAGTGCCCTCATCTTGCTCCCCATCTGCCTGACTCTCAAGAACTGGGCAGCCTGTAGAGGAGATTGTAAGGCCACCCCACTGAGGAATAATCAAGTAAGCAAGCAGGTTCTCTCACTTTCCACAGAAGACATGCGCTGAGCAGACATGTGCGAAGTTGAATCTGCCCTAGAGGAGATCAAGAAAAGTCCCAGTGGAGTGAAGGGCCTGGAGAGGAGCACACCCCCGGGCGGCCGGTCTCTGACCAGCCTAACCTTTACCTTCAGCTCCTGGTGTAAGACACGTATGAGGCCCCGGGGGTGGAGGCTCTGCAGTTTCTGAAGGAATACAGAAACAGTGGGACGTCAAGTGGAGTCCCGGCAGACCCCCAAGGTCATCTGGCATGTATAACACAAGTGCAGACACAGGGCCCAAACCCTGCAGTGTCTGGTCTCAGCTTCCAGCTCTTGGCACAGCTTCTGGCACAGAGTAGGCACTCAAGAAATTTTTGTTAATGCTTGTTTTTTTTTTAATTAATGAATTTCTTTTATTCCTTTAGAGCTTGATCAATTGCAGAAAGGGTATGAGACAGCTCAGGAAATGTTTGTTGAATAGATAAGTGTCTTAGCCCTCTCCAGTTCCTGGTTTCACATGTTCCTGGATATAAAATGTGACTATATCTAAATGAGATGCAAGGTGTTGATAAAAGCTGCCAGTGATTTTTTTATTATTTTTCTGGCTTTTCTGTATTTTCAAATGTGTCTTTAAAGAGCATGGATCACTTTTGTTATTTTAAAAAATATATGTTATAAAAGTAACCCGTAAGTAAAAAGTAAAACAGGAGAGTAACAGCAGTTAAGAAGCGAGAGGCATCCTGTCCCTGCTGTGAGGCTCCGAACCTTGGGCCCCTGGCAGGCTGGGTGGGCCGAGCAGGGCCTCGTCACGCTTCAGGATTCTTGTCACAGCTCATTCTCTCTCAGCCTCTGTTTCCACAGGCCTCACCACCCATCAGGCACTGACTAATAACGCTCCCCTTCAGTAACAAGTCTTAGTCAGAACTGGAAATAGAGGTGAGTCCTGGATGGGGAAATAACAGGCCTCGCCCAGGGCCCCAGACCAATTAGAAATTCAGTCCGCCCTTACGCCCAGCCCTGCCCCATCATTCACTGTCAGGGCGAGGTGCGTCGTCCTGCACAGAAAACCCAAGGAGGACCCTGCAGTGGGAGCCGGTCTCACCCTTCTAGTAGCACGTCTCCTCCAGGGCAGTGGAGGTCTCAGCTCCTTGCATATGACAAATGTCCATCCCACTTCCCTCTAAGAAGCACAGCTGGCTGCTCTGAGTAGAGAACACAAGAGCCAGGCATGCCTCCATTAAAGCATTTGCTTGGTTATAAATGAGCCGTCCCCATTTCCATGAGGAACTCAGTTCTTCTCTGTGGCCTAGCACTGCAACTGAGGGAACCATTGTGTGTTTGGTGGTTTTTTGTTAAAGACATTGGTCGTGTCAAGAAAATGAGGGCTCAGGGAGTTGAGGAGAAGTTGTTTAGGGGGGTTGTGTCAGAAAGCATTTTCATGTGTACACTGTCCTAATTCCTCCATCGGCTCTGGCCATGGTTATGAGCACCTTGCTCTCAGAGCTGAAATGTCTCTAGAGCCACTGGGCTAAGAGGCAGGCTCAGCTGCCTCGCTGGCTCTACCTCTAGCCAGTGGTGCACAAGGAGGTGTGACCACCTGCTTCTTCAGAACTGCTCACTCGCTCGCTCGCTCTCTTTTTTTATTCTTTGACAACTTTTGTTCACATGCTGTACCATTCATCCATTTAAAGTGTATAATTCAGTGGTTTATAGTATATTCACAGTGTTGTGCAACCATCACTTCTACCAATCTTAGAACATTTTATCACCCTAAAAAGAAACCCTCTGCCTTTTAGCAGTCACTCTTTAATTTCCTCCAGGCCCCCCAGCCTAAGACGAACACTAATCTAATTTTTGTCTCCATAGTTTTGTCTATACTGGGCATTTCATATAAATAGAATCATTCAATATGTGGCCTTTTGTGTATGTCTCCTTTCACTTAGCATAATATTTTCAAGATTCGCCCATGTTGCTCTGGCTGGTGTGGCTCAGTGGATTGAGTACTGGCCTGCATACTGAAAGTTTGCCAGTTCAATTCCCATTCAAAGCACATGTCTGGGGTGCTGGCCAAGTCCCCAGCTGGGGCATGCGAGAGGCAACTGACTGATGTGTCTCTCACACATCGGTGTTTCTTTCCCTCTTTTCCTCCCTCCCTTCCCTGCTCTCTAAAAAATAAGTGAATAAAATTTAAACCTTCTACAAAAAAAAAAAAAAAGTTAAAAAAGATTCGCTCATGTTGTAGCAGGTATTATCACTTCATTTCTTCTCATGGCTGAGTAGTATTCCACTGGGTGATTGTGCCAGACTTTATTTATCTTTTCACCAGTTGATGATATTTGGGTTGTTTTCACTTTTTTGGCGGTTATGAATAATGCTGCTATATGAACATGCTTGTGTAGGTTTTTGTATGGACATATGCATTCATGTCTCTTAGGCCACACAACTAATCTTAACAGTAATGTCTGATCCTATCATTTCTTTGTTTAAAAACCTTCACTAGGTTCCCATTGTCCTTAAAACCAGACTCAAAAATCCTTACCTTAGTCTACAAGGCTTATGTCTTCTGGGGTCTCCCCTTGTTCTTCTGTCTTAGCCAAGAGATTCTGCCAGCACACAGACTTCCTTCCTTGGCAGGCCTGGGGCTTTCCTCTTCCTCCCCTGGCCCTTTGTTTATCTAATTCCTACTCATCCTGATGTCTCAGCTGACATAGCTGCTCCTCAGGGAATTCTTTCCAGTGCCTCAGATGAGGTCCACATGCTGTCATGGTGCCCTGCACATCTCCTTAGCACAGACCACAATTACAACCAAATGATGACTTGTGTGATTAACTATGTAATGTTCTCTCTTCTCACTGTAAGCTCCGAAAGAGCAGGGCCCTCATCCTTGTTCACTTATCCCCAGCACCTAGTGTGGTACCCAGGACACTTAGACTCTCGGTAAATAGTAGTCAGATGAGTAACGCAGAACAATGGCAGCAATCAAGTCCCGTGCTTTGAGGCTTCCTTTTGCCTCAAGATCTACCTCAGGTGATGGGAAAACACAAGCAACTGCTGAGGCTAGGATGACTCCTCTTTCTCTCCCCAGATCTCCTTGCCCACTCATTCACTTGAGAGACCTCTGCTTAAGTCAGAATGGGTTTGGGGGAGGCCCCCTTTTAAAATAACTTGTGACTCATTGAGTCCCAGCTAGCACGCGCTCTCTCAGGACAGGCTAATTCCCCATAGCGTGGAACTCAGAGCAGCCCCAACATCACGGACTAAACCAGTAGCGGCAGCGGCAGCGGCAGCAGCAGCCATCCATTTCCAAGAGTGAAATGAGGAGGTATTCTCTGAGGCAATTGCTTCTCTGAGAGTTGGGGAGCTGCATTATGACTAACCACGTTCCCTTTAGTGAAGATTATTGCCTTTCTGCATGTCTCATTTGAAAAACTGTCCTTGAGGAAACTCCAAGAGGAAACTATACACCTTCTGAGACTTAATTGCTTTTTCAAAAACACCTGTTTTCATTTCCCCCACAGATATGCACTTATTTGGCCATTATCCAGCACATGACGACTTCTATCTCGTAGTGTGCAGTGCCTGTAATCAGGTCGTCAAGCCACAGGTTTTCCAGTCGCACTGCGGTAAGTGGACTCCTGCAGCCGCTCGCGGAGTATCGCCGCCCCTTTGGCTCCCAGACGAGGTCTGGCCCTCTGTCTGTCTTAGCCCAAGGCTGTGGGCTAATTCTTCCTGGGGCTCTGCCTCTGCTCCCAGGGTAACTATTTTAGGATCTGTAGTCCTTGTGCTGAAATGCTTAGTCCTGTCAGAACAAATAAGACCTGTAACTTGTTTAGGTAGATGGGACTAGACTGAAATCATTGACCCAGCCTTTTAGTGGCCTCTGCAGGTGACAGGGGAGGGAACAGCGGTGGCTTGAGGAGTCATCGTGTAGCCTGGTATTTTGTTCCCCTGAAAGAGAGGGCCAGACGGAGTCTCTGGGGTCTACACAAAGAAGGGACAGGAGTCAAGTGTAGGCCCCTGTGGGGGCCATTGGGGTGCTGCCCTGAGGAAATGCCTTGTATATAAAGCCTCAGGTTCAGCTTCTCCATTTCCAAGAATCCTCCTTGCTTAAAAAAAAAAATAACTCAACTGTGTTTGGGAATTTGCCTTCCCTCTGTTTTTATGTCCTTGGTGTAATAAATTCCCTTCACCTGGTCAACAGCAAACCCTGGACTCCCCTTCAATGCAGGTGCCATGAACATACAACAGATAAAGCCCACATTGGCCTCTCCCCTCAGGAACAAATAAATAGCTATTTACCTGAGATAGGAAGTTACTCAACCTCTCTGGGTGGAAGTTTTCTTATCTTTAAAGGAGGCATTGAACCAGATGATTTCCAAAGCTATAATATGCTGAGTTCCAGAACAGTATGTCCCAATCTTTTTATTTAAGCCATACTCCCTTTCGATGAACATAAAATCTAAATGCCCTCCTTTAGTGTTAAATTACAAAGCACATTAAATATTGTACCTTAAAATAAATCAAAGCAATTATAATATTGAATAAGCTTTTGCAAACTACATGTTATCCCTTTCTCACACTCAGAATTTCTAATTTCCACACCCCTTCAGTTATCACTATTTTGTAACAATAGGTATGAAATAAAGCATGTTGTGCTTACGTAAGCTGTTCAGTAAATGTATTTGGGACTATAGAATACAGTTAACCCTTGAACAACACAGATTTAACTGTGCAAGTATACTTATAAGTGGGTTTTTTCAATAACTGTACAGTCAGTCCTCCATATCCACAGGTTTTAAATCTGCAGGTTCAATCAACCACAGATTGAAAACAGTACATGTTTTCAGTTGATGGTTGGGAATCCACAGATGTAGAGTGCCGACTATATGCATTGTTGTACACCATTTCATGTCAGGGATCTGAGGATCTGTGTATTTTGGTATCTGTGGGAGATCCTGGAATTAACCCCAATGGATTCCAAGGGATGGCTGTAGTTTTTTATATCCTAATATCATTTATGAATATGTAGCCCTGTGATATCTACATATCTGTGTATATACTGTAGGTATATTTCATGTTTATAATATGCAGAAAGAAAATCCAAGCTTTAGGCACACTTTCCAACCCTGTCTGAACTGCAGAGGTAGAGAGGGGCCCTCAAAGTGTTCCCCAAAGAGCTCCGTTTAGAGGCCAAGTCTCCTGCCCACCCCTGCAGCCAGTTTAGTGACCTTGAGCTACTTGCTTAACGTCTCAAAGCTTTGGTTTTCTCTTCTCTTTCCTAAAGAATGACTTTTGTGGGTACTTCTAGTGCTAACGTTTCTGGCAGAGTGAGCATGAGAGGAGCAAGTTGTGTGCTCGGCACAAGCTGACCTTCTTGCTCAATGCTTTGTAGTAAGTGACCTTCCCTTCTGCCAGGAAGAGAGAAAAGATCAAACCTCTCAGGAGGGACACTGTCAGAGACCCAGTGGCGGTGCTGCCAAATAAGGTGACACGTGGGATCAAGAGCAGAGCAGGGAAGAGAAGATCCCACACAGCTCATTGGTTGGCAAATGACCATGGAAGCTCTGTGGACACTGCTTTTGTATGTCTATGAAAATGCAGAGGCCAGATCACCCTGAATGGGATCATCATGCAATCATTCATTCACAGGGATATGCTGCTGTTCTGGGCACTGAGATACAGCAGCAAACAAGGCAGAAAAAATGCCTGTAAACCATTAAAATCTTCACTGGAAACTTAATTCAGTGACAGTCTTCAATGGAAAAAACCTGAAAAGGACCCAGGACCCCACTGTGCTCTCCAGAATTCTGCCCGAGGCAAAGCCCCATCTAGCCAGTGAAGAAGGCCTCTAGGCACAGGGGTGTCCAACCCGTGGCCCAGAATGGCTATGAATGCCGCCCAACACAAAATCATAAATTTACTTAAACCTTTTTTTTCACTCATCAGTTTTCATTAGTGTTTGTGTATTTAATGTGTGGCCCAAGACAACTCTTCTTCTTCCAGTGTGGCTCAGGGACACAAAAAGGTTGGACACCCCTGCCTAAGGCTGACACATGTGCCTTCCTCTATCCTAGGCCTTTCGGGGCAAGAGCCAAGGCGAGCCTGGGGAAAAACCAAGTGTTTTGTGGCATCTGCTATGAGCAGTGGCAGTAAATTTGTTTGGGGGTTTGGATTATTGATCTTATCACCCACAGCCCAGTCTCCGTTGAGTTTCTCACTGAAGGCTGACAGGCAGCAACAAGGACACCTTGTTCGGGCGTGTGTTCTGTCGCCTCACAGCCCGTGTTCATCAAGGCCAGGAGAATGCAAGGCGGAACTCAGAGCTGTAGCGACTCTTGGTGGGCAGTGAGGTTCTCTTAGTTTCCCTAAGAATTCCTCCTATAGTTTCATGATATGTCTTTTTTTGCTGTTTCAGTCTTACTACTTTGAAGAAGTTAGTAAGAATGTCATTGTGCTAAGTGCCAGGCACTGTGCTCAGTGCTTTCCATACCTTTGAGCACGTAATCCTCTCAACAGCCCTAAGAGATAGGACCAATATGATCCCATTCTGAGCTTGAGGAAACTTAAGGCCTAAGAATGCCTTGCCCCGCACCTCAAAGCTAGGCAGGTGCAGAGCCTGGCTTTGAACACGAGCAGTATTCTCCCCAGAGTCAGGGCAGTGCATGCTTCACCCGCTTACTAGTCATTGTCCCTCACTGCCTGTCTGCATAGACCACATGCTGCCCCTGCCTTGCCCGAACTCTAAGGCCTGATGCATTCACCTGCCAGGTAGCACCTCTTACATAGCACAGGGCTTCAAACTTGCTTTTGTTAGCTGCAGAGCTTTTATCAAATAGAATCTCATGTGGAACCGCAATCTATAAATATATATACAAAGCAGAGCCATCGGAGTTGAACTTGGGGTGGGTGCTTGAGCCGCTCCTGAATTCCCTGGCCCACCCCTGACCTCCTAACCTACAGGCCCTCACAGAACAGCTTTTGAGGTTTGTTGTAGTGAGAGAACATGGGCTTTAGAGCAGATAAAGCAATTCGCATGACTCCCCATTAACTGCGTGGGCAGGTCGCCTCCCATCTCTCCATCTTGTCTACAAAATGAGTTCTCTGCCTGCCTCGTGGGGCAAAATGACCGATGTGGGGCAAAATGAGTACTCTGCCTGCCTCGTGGGGCAAAATGACCAATGTGGGGCAAAATGAGTACTCTGCCTGCCTCGTGGGGCAAAATGACCAATGTGGGGCAAAATGAGTACTCTGCCTGCCTCGTGGGGCAAAATTCTTGCATGTGCATCCAGGGCATGGCTTCATTTCCTCTCCACTTCTCCCCATGGTGTCTTTCTCCCTTTGCCCCACAGAACTCTGTTCTCCTGTGCCACTTCCCACCCCCTGCCGCACACTTCAGTTACCTGTGGACTGTCTCAGAACATCTACCAGCTTCTAGGAACCTTTCAGGACCAGGGATGGTCCTTTTCAACTCTGTATTCCCAGCGCCCAGAATCATCACAAAGCAGAGCTACAGTACAGTGGGAGGGACACTGCCCAGGGGCCAGTACATCTGGGGCCAAAGTCCAGCTCAGCCTCTGCTTAGCCCTGGGACCCTAGACTTGTCGCCTTGTTAAATGGCAGGGGACTGGAGTGTGTGCTCACAGCACCTGTGATTCAGCTGAATTTTGAGGATTGTGGCATGTTCAGAGAGATGAGCTCATGGCTGCATTCAAGATCTGGTCTCCTGCTTGTTTAAGTTTAAAAAGTGTGTGTGTGTATGTGTGTATTTAGGCATTTGGTTTGGGGGACTTTGGAGGTTGGTGGTAATGTGAAAAAGCCATAGTAGAAACATCATGAATTCCGGAGTCAAACAAACCCAGGTTAGACTCTCCAGTAACATTTACTAGCTGTGTGACCTTGGGCTAATTACATGACCTTTATGAGCCTCATTTTACTCTATAATGAAGATAATCATCCTTGCCTAACAGAGTTACAAGAGAAACAGAGATAAAGTAGTTTCCTGGCACATGGTAAGGAAGTAAAGAAAGGGTAGCTATTATTGTCAATAAAGTGTGGCTATTTTGTATTAAGTTGAATGTTTCTTATGAAAAATGGGAAAACCAATTTAGTCAAATACTTCCTGCCTGCGTTTCTTGCCCCATCTCAGGGGACATGCAGAGTGAGGTTAGCCCACTGACTGTGGCCTGTGATTCATCTTATGCTTCGCGCACTCTTGGACACGAGAACTGTCGGCCTGAAGGTGATCACGTTGCAAAGAGTCCTGAGGATCTGGCTTTCTAAATACGTTCACGTTCACAGTAGGACACAGCGTCAGCTCCCAGGATCTCTCTGGGGTCCCTACTGGGTCCGTCTGGCCTTGGCCACCTTGTCAGCCAGGAGTCACGTGAAGCTGCCTCCCAGGACTGGCCACATTCCTTCTGCTCCTGGCTTGTGCCCCAAGCTGGTGTCCCAGACGTAAAATGTTTGGGAGACCCTGTGCTCAGCATGGGGTGGAAGCTCTCTGGGAGCCACCTTCTGTGCGCCGTCTCCTCTGTTGGCCCCTTGGGTCTGTTTCCTAAGTCTGTACAAGGGCCCTTTAGGTGCTTTGTAAACCTCTTCCCAGGAGACCTAGGACTTTAAGGGA